CGAGAGATACTGTTGCTTAGCTATGCAGACAACAACATTTCGGACGAAGAATTTGTTCCATTATACGACTGTTATCGTTCAAAAAATCCAGATTTCGGCTATCAATCATACGATGTTTTCGATCTAGAAAACATGCAGTTCAGCTGACTGCAAAGCTGAATTTCGAGTTGAAAAGGCAGACCTTCCTCGCCTTGCAGATGCCTTACAAATTCCCGCAGTGTTCCATTGCAAACACAGAAGCATTTGTGATGGTTTGGAGGGACTGTGTGCGCTGCTGAGACGAACAGGTTACCCCTGCAGATTCAGCGATATGATTCAACGTTTTCCAAGACCAGTTTCTGTTTTGAGTTTGATTATATCATCTTTTTGCTGAACTTTTTTCGGAGAAGGTTCCACCGCTGTCGTACAGCTTTTTTATCCTTCATTTGGAATTTTGGAGAGTTAATTTCATTCAGACTGTCGACTATCGCTTCCCAAGCCAGTCCACGAGCGGGACTTCCTTTCTTTGCTCCAAAAATATTTCTTGCTAGCATTTCTCTTAGAAAAAGCACATCATGTCATTCTTCGCTCCACTCCATCGGCCTAGAGTGAAACAACGGGAAACGAGAGGTAAAACATAACGCTTAATTTTGATAAGAATGAAAAATAAAAGCAGCCAAAACCTTGGCCAAGTAGCTTAATTTACTCACTTGGATTTTTGCACTTGATCATAAGATGCCGCCATATTCAGTCTGCGTCTACAGCTGTCCTTTTAAAATACGATGAATAAAATACGTTTTATGCCGAAAGCTATTCAAGTAAATTACGAGAAGATATTCTCTTAAGTTGCGAAAACTAAAAGGCCAGAAAGAAAACGAGTATAAGCGGACAAAAGACTCGTATCTACTCACGTTTTCTACACACCGTGAAAACAAGCCTTGTGAGGTCGGCGCCGAGCCTAGACGACTTCGCGCCAAATGTGCGACGTCAAACGGAAATAAAACTTCATTTCCGGGCGTCGCCGCCGTCCTGAAAACTCTCGGTGCTAAAGGTCCCTATTGTTCTTGCCACTGGAGTTCATATCTTCATATCTGGAGTTCATATCTTCTCGCCACCGTGTAATATCCACTACTTATTATATGGCTGTCTCACA